TGACACCAGTCAAATTTACGTCAAAAATAAATTGATCAATAATTGTAATTGGGATGAACAAAGTGGTAGAGATTGTAACAAGGTTTCCAAAAATATAAAGACCACTGAAATCCGTGTTATAACGAAGAAGTTATGACCAATCAAATATCCGCGACAAAACCGGCAAAACACTGTTCAGTGTAAAAAGTGAATTTTAGATAAAAGGCTTTTTAGCCTTAATGATCTAAATGAAAGTTGTAGAACATGTTAAACCGAGAACTTTCATAAAAAGAACGTAAAAATCTGACTTCGTATGAGGAAGTTATGATTTTTCTAAGTTTCGGTTTAGCAGTAGACAGCTAAAAATTCGAAATATAAATCGATCGCTATTTAGCCGACACAACTTAAACGAGAATCGAAGGTCTCGTCAAAAGTAGTACAACGGTAAAAAGACAGACGAAAACGGACGTCGGATGAAGAAGTTATGAATTTTTAACGGATTTCCTGTCCCGGTCTGTTAAAAATAATAATATTAAAAATAAAAATCAAAATTATCCGATGAAGTCTAAACGAAAGTCGTATAGTATAATTTTACCTACGCGTGCATATAAAGAACGCCAAAAACGGAGCTCGTATGCGAAAGTTATGAATTTCGCAAGTTTTTGGCACGAAAATCAAAAAATCTAGAAAACCGGGAAATTTCGCATGGCTGGCATCCGGACACGTCACGCTCGCATGCGAGACCTCCCCGTGTCGGACATGTGTTCGCTGCTGATTGGACCGAAGTACGCGTGTCACCTGCTGATTGGACCGAAGTCGTCATGACAGCTCTTGATTGGACCGAAGTTCGGTCCTCTCCTGGTCCGACACGCATCCGAGACTGCCACTCTCTTCGCTTCTCCTTCTGACGCGTGGCTGCTGACTCGCCCTCGCCCTCGCCACCTGTCCGAACCGAAGCCACCTGTCCGATGACTCATCCCCTCGGCCGAACCCTCGCACCCCTATATAAAGGGTGCGAGACTTCTCGGATTTTTGATGTTTTTCACCCAAAATTTCACCCTTTTTCACCTTTTCACCCCCTAAACTTTCTTACGACCCCCCAAGGCCCCATTATCGTATCAAAGACCCGAAGCAAGCCCCGAAGCCCCAGAATTCTCGAGAAGATAACCTCTTTCCAGTCGAAGTGCTGCCCGCATAAAGCCCGGTTTTTACTCAAAAACTCGCGGTTTCTTCGAGAAAAATCATCTATAGAAACGAAACGCTGCCCAAATCACCACTTATCAAGTGAGTTCATACCCCTATAATCTACATTTTTAATGGTTTTTAAATGTTTTTTAGGGGGGAATACAAGTTGAACACAATATGAATTGTGTTAATAATTGTATGTTATAATAATCACACGGAAGGGTTTCCTTATGCTTTTAAGGATTACCAAATACTTCCAAAATGACTTAAAGTCATGTTAAATCTTTAAAGTCATATAAACTCCGTTAAATTCATTGAAAAAGGTTTTATAAACTATTTCAAATTATAATTGCCAAAATCATGTTTATATATGTATAAATATATAAATAAGATTTGAAGGGCTTAGGACTAATGAATTATCTTATTTCTTTTTCCTTGTTTGGATGTAGAATTATGGTGGTGTTATTTGTCTGAAGGTCGTTTCCTTCTTAATTATATATATATATATATATATATATATATATATATATATGAATATAAAAGGTTACTTCATTCGGTATCATTACCTTTGTATCATTCTGAGCAAAGGTGTTCATCCATGAGAAATCATGCTAATCAGATAGAACATATAAATTATAATAGGTATAATTTATGATTCAAAACTAAATATACAAGTATGATTCACATTCCAAGGAAAGTACCAACAATTCCTTTACCTATACCAGGATATGTATAATACTTTTAGTATATGGATAATATATTAAAGAAGTAATAATACATCATACCGGGTTTGCATTAACAAAGGTACAATACAGAGTACCAGGGTTAGCAATCACGGGGTAATAATACATCATACCGGGTTTGTATTAACAAGGGTACAATACAAAGTACCAGGGTTACCAATCACGGGGTAATAATACATCATACCGGGTTTGCATTAACAGGGGTACAAATACAACGTACCAGGGTTAGCAATCACGGGGTAATAATACATCGTAAATCTCGTTGAAACAATAAATTTGTGAGACTCTTCATGGTGTACTTATCTAAGTACGACCTTAAGTCCTGACTTATTAACCAGAATCTCCTGTAGGGAGGGCGTGAATTTGTGTATAGATCTATATGAGACTGACAATCCCGCACCTTCACTGTTCGCTACAGTTTGGCCGGCAGGCCTAGGGTGTCAAATGTCATATCGTTTCCGACGCCTGAAGAACGTCGCATCAGGCACATCAGTCATATTAGTATGGTTAATAGAACTCACATGAATAAATCAACGAGTAAATTACTAAGTAATATACTTCTCTTAAAACAGTAAGAAAAGATAATTACATCCTGACCAAATATACCTTCTGTTAGTTTTTACTTACAGTAAAAACTACGTATCATGAAATCAAGTATAACAAATATACTTGTACTTCTGGTTTTGGAACATTTAAAACCACAAAGCAGTATTATGGATAATATAATATTTTCCAGGATTAATACTAATGTTTTACTGTAGAACGAATATAACTAAGAATACTTTTACAAATGAAACGGTTTATGGGATTAAACTACTTTTACAAAAGAAACGGTTTATGTGATTAAACTACTTTTACAAATGAAACGATTTATGGGATTAAACCACTTTTACAAATGAAACGGTTTATGAGATTAAACTACTTTTACAAATGAAACGGTTTATGGGATTAAACTACTTTTACAATTGGAACTTAGTCATTCACTCTCTGTAAACTAGTATAACATAAATGACCTTTAGTGGTTAATTCTATAATTCCTTAGTTTTTACATCAGAGTTATACATAAGTAATATCCGATTGACAGTGAAATGTGTGATTTCCGCCTTACTTCATGTTCCTTGTTTGGTTATGGGCTTAGGGCAGATACACCCATTTAACTGTCCTCTCGATATTAGGTTATATATAATTAGTATAAACTAAGTAATTGCAGTGGAAACTATTGAGGTTATAAGTTTATCACCTCAGGAAATATAGGATTTTCTGGAGGAACCAGTGAACTTTTCCAAGAACTTAGAATATACTTATAGAACTAAAATACTTATGAACTCACCAGCTTAAATGCTGATCTACTCTTTCAAAATAACTTGTATTCTCAGGAATCCAGTAGACAGGTACACTCCGGAAGCTTTTGAGAAGACTACCTAGTACCGTACCGCGACTCTTGTCTTCTACTGTACCTACTTTGATGTTTGAATATGTAATGTTTAGATACTTATGTAAAACTTATACTTATTGATGCAATGGTTGTTTGTACTTTGATTATTATATTGCATGTGTTGTGATACTTACATGAAGTCCTTCGCCCCCGAATGTTTCCGCCGTTCTGGTTTGGAGGTGTGACAATATCACATTATAATTATAAGAAGACAATAAAATTAAAATTTAAAAAATATATTTAAAAGAAAACCATAAATACGAAAGTTTTTTGTACTTAATTGTTAAAAAAAATATATTAAGACTTAATAGAATATAATGTCAAAATGTATTTTTTTTAAATTTACTTTAATTTTAGGGAAATCTCCAGAAAAGTCCTAAAATTTTACCCTAATTTACGAAAAAGTCCAAACTAAATTTTGTTTACGAAAAAGCATGAATTACCGGTAAAAATGGCGATTTGACCCCTTTTTTCCGGTTTATCGGTTTTATTACTTACCTGTTTCACTAAAGTCCCATTATTTTATCTTAATTTGTGAATAAGTCCCAAAATAAAATTTACTGATGATTTGGCCCTTTTGTCTATGTAACATACATTTTACCGGTTTCATTGCTGACCGGGACGCCTAGTCATTAAATGAGATGATGAGATGAATATGTTGAGTTATATAATGATATATTTAGCATAAAACTTGATATCATGATGTATTGTATATCTTTTTGGAACATAAAATGCATCCAACGAAGACTACAATAATTACATAAACTAACAACAACTGCGTTATTTTTTACGTTTATAAGAAATATCAAATTGTCTATCTAATCTTATGTAACCCAATATATCCATCTCATCAGACATCAACTCATTTTCTGCCATTTTTTCTTGGAAACACACATTTTATTGGTTTCATTGCTGACGTAGATACATAGTCATAAATGAGCCGATGAGATGAGTATCAAATTTTATAATAAATGTGGCATTATATAACCCGTCGTATTCATCTTATCAGCTAATTTAATGACTAGATGTCTAAGTCGGCAATGAAACCGATAAAATATATGTTACATGAAGAAAAAGGGTCAAATCATCAGTAAATTTTATTTTGGGACTTATTAGCAAATTAGGGTAAAATAATGGGACTTTAGTGAAACATTTAAGTAATAAAACCGGTAAACCGGAAAAACGGGGTCAAATCGCAATTTTTACCGGTAATTCATGCTTTTTCGTAAACAAATTTTAGTTTGAGACTTTTTCGTAAATTAGGGTAAAATTTTAAGAATTTTGAGATTTCCCTTAATTTTATAAACAACTTGCATGGTTTACACTTTACACTAATCTCCTTCTAATCCATAGTTCATCCCTATTCCATTTTATGAGAGTCCGTGATGTAATGATAATACATTCCAGATTCTTTTAAATAAAAAGACTACATAAATAGACAGTTACCTATCAAATCTGGATCCACATTTGAGCCATTTCGAATTAGTTGATATAATTCATAAATCAATTCTTTTTTAATCATTTCTAATAATTTTGAATTTTTTTCTCTTAAAATGGTGCGAAGGAAAAGAAAGTTGTTTACACGGCATATGAAGGAAAGCGAAACGAGCCAGGGGGTGAAGGGTGCTGCTGGTATTCTGCCAACTGTAGTGTGGCTGTCAAAAGTCAAAACTTTCTATTCATATATAACTTTACCACCGTCTCCTCTCCCACTCCCAATCCCAAATCAAATTCCCACAACATGCACCACACCAAGACCGATTCCGATGCCACAAGCGTCACGACGTCATCCCCCACGCGTTCTCCTCCCCGTCGTCCGGCCTACTACGTGCAGAGCCCATCCCACGACGGCGACAAGCACCTCACCACCATCTCATTCCACTCCACTCCCGCCTTGCTCAGCCCCAACGGTTCCCCTCCCCATTCCCACTCCTCCGTCGGCCGCCACTCCCGTGAATCATCCTCCACTCGCTTTTCCGGCTCCCTCAAACCCAATGGAACCCGCAAGATCTCCCCTAACGACATCGCGATGAAGAGTTTTGCCAAGTCGTGGGAAAAGCAATTCAATTCCATCGAAGAAGAAGGTCTTCTCGAAGATGACGACTTGGAGAAACCCATCCCTCGTCGCTGCTATGTTTTGGGTTTTGTTATTTGTTTTCTGATTCTCTTCTTCCTCTTCGCTTTGATCTTATACGGCGCTGCTAAACCCCAAAAACCTAATCTCACCATGAAGGTTAGTCAATTAATTGTGATAAAAAATTAATTATTGATCAAATTATAGTATCTGATTTGTGATGATGAATTTCAGAGTATTAAATTTGAGAGATTTGTGATTCAAGCCGGGTCGGATTCCACCGGAGTAGCCACTGATATGGTGACGACGAACGCCACCGTAAAGTTCACTTTCCGGAACACCGCTACATTTTTCGGCCTCCATGTCACGTCCACACCGATTGATCTTTCCTTCTCTCAAATTGCAGTTGGCTCCGGCAGTGTAAGCCCTAATAACCCCCACCCAAAATTACTACAACTCAAATTAATCGAATATATGATCGAATTTTGATTTTGCAGATGAAAAAGTTTTATCAATCGAGAAAGAGTCAGCGATTGTTGACGATATCAGTGATCGGGGATAAGATCCCATTGTACGGAAGCGGACAAGGGATAAAGAGCTTGAAAGGGTCGCCGACGTCACCGGTGCCATTGAAGCTGAGCTTCGTGGTTCGATCAAGAGGATACGTTCTGGGTAAACTCGTTAAACCGAAATTCTACCACAGAGTTGAGTGTTCAGTTGCTTATGATCCTAAGAAGATCAATGTTCCAATGTCGCTTAAAAATAATTGCAAGTTTCTATAATCGATTCATCTTGCTGAATGATGATGTATAAAGGGGAAGTATATTTTTGATATGGTTTTGCTAGTTTTGTATAGTGGATAAATGTTTGAACATTTAATCAATAATTAATATATTTTTCATTGAAATATATGTCAAATTAGTTTTTGCATTTACATTGATGAAAAAGGCAAAAATAAGACGAGATTCTACATAAGACGTGCAAGCTTTTACGAAAAATGCGTAATGTATAAAATAAGTTTAACTAATTTTCGTTGAGCAAAATGAATAGATTTCAAAATTTGGTTTATTTTTCCTTTAATGCTTCTTTGTAAGTTTGTATGACTTTTTCAACACTTACCTCGTTATCATTTTATTTAAGAATGACACAATATCAACTTAGTTGTAGGTAATGTATTGATTTATATTTTTTAATCGATAGAATTGTGAACTAAAAATTATTTTAAAAATATACATGAGTTAAATGGATCAAAATGGATCAAATAGACAAATACTAAGGACCTTCTAAGTCAATATATTAAAAAGAAAAAAAACTATTAAAAATGATATTGATTATATTTAACAAATCCTTTCTAATCCTCTCTAATAAATGAATGTTTTTTTTGTCACTTGTCACACTCTCATTCAATTTGCCAAAATTTAATTTGACAAATGTTATTTTGTGGTTATTTTGAATTTTTTTTCCACATTTCATTTTATGAATTTTTCTATTTTATTAAATTTCATATGTAATAATTATAATAAATGTAGTAATAAATTGATATCAATTTCATTAATAAACTTACATTTTAATTTAAAATTCTTAAAATTAAAGCTCATTAGTTTCTTTTATTTATTTAAATTATTTGTTTAAATTTAAAATATAAAAAACATTTCCATTATAATAATTCATTATTTTTTTTATTTTCTTATAAATTCAAAGTTCTTTATTTTGACATTTATATTTAGTTTTTTTTTTTAATTAACCAATGTAATACATGAGTCTCACAACTAGTATAGTTAATACAATATGATTCAACCTATGTTGTATTTATTACCTTGTTACATGCAATGTAATACAATTGTAAAACATAATTTTTGTTTGGCAACACATCATCATCTATTTTTTTTTTTGGAAGTGATTCGTACAGAACAATTTTTTGTCATACACAACAATTTATGCATTATAGGTTTTGTAAAAGATGTTTATTTGCGGAATGTTCGAAGATTGTAGTAGGTGAAAAACAATGGTCTAACTTGGCTTTGTATTTTAGATTCTTTTTTTAGAACCAAACAAAAAGTTTGCTTCTAACACCCATCTATATTTAAAATCTGATTTAATCATTCATGATTATAATCGGTTTAAGAATAATAATCATGGCTTATTCCTTCACTGGAAATAATCATTTGAGATAGGATGTCTCATGGGCCAAACTATACATTATAGTTTGGGAATAAATGGTAAATCTAAAATAGAGAAAGTTTGATAGTAAATTAACTAAGTAGACCATACAAAGTGTTAGTACCATGTTCACAACTAATTATAAGGTATCAAATCTAGTCCTTAACTAAGGTGCTATTTGTTTTTTGTCTGCAGAACTTCTTAGCATCTTCTGTCTGCGTCGCGCAGACCACACGCATACGTTAGGCTTCGCAGACTGTTTGGTTTTTTGAAGACTGCAGACCTAAAAATGTATGTGCGTCCTCTTCTTGGCACATATGTAGAGCAGAGTCTTCAAACCTCTTCAGACATCTTCTAGCCTAAAAAATCACATATATCTTTGTCTTGTTTTTTTTTTGTTTTTTTTAAAACTTAGATTTATTCTAACTTTATATATGATAAACAATTTTTAATAAAAAAGTTACAATACTTCAAATAAAAAAGTTTGACGACACAATCATGACCTTTGTGACAAATTTATAAATAAAGATTTAATTACAATAATGGTCATTGGAGCTATTATATAGATTTGAAAAAAAAATCATAATATTGTCTTATATTTTTTGTATCATATTAGATAAAACATTATATAATACAGTATCATTCATTTCTTGGAAAAAATATTCATGTTCAGCTTTTAATTGATTTAATTGAAAAAGTAAAATGAAAATTTTCATTTAAAATCAAAGTTTATTTCATCCATTTTATGTGTTAATTTTTTTTATCCCTAATTACAATATTTAGGTAGAACTTTGCGACCAAAGTTTGTTGGTTTTATTAAATATATACATTAATATGTACCATTTTATTTTCACGTTTATACAATAATACATAAAAGTTAATCTACATTTGTTAATTATCTATAATAAAGTCATAAAATTATTGAAAAACCTTTTTACATTTTTTTAGAAATCAGTTTAATTAGATTTTCGTTTATTCTAGCAGCTTGTAGATGTTAAAAAACAAACAATCTTCTTCTTTCAGGCTGCAGACGTTTGGTCCACCTCTTCTACCACAGAGGTCTACAGATGTGGTCCGCAGACTGCATACATTTTGACTAAGAAAAAACAAACAACACCTAAGTAGACCATATAAAGTGTTATATTATTTTGTTTCGAATATATAACATGTTCAAATACTGTTTCTACCATAACATAGTGTCTGTAACATTTTTTATATCCTTTCTCATATTTATGTCCCATTCGCTTTACTTTTGTAAGATTCTTCTATATAACCATTTTGATTCTATATTTTTGGGATTTCCAACTTCTACTTGACTTTATATACTTGTAGGTAGGTTACATAAATATCACATCATCGGTCTTTGCTTTATCATACCGTTATATGGTTTCCATTTTTTGTCCTACTTTGAGCCTAATATAAGCATACTTTGTTATTTTCACTTTTATTACTTAACTGAAATATCAAGAATTTAATTATCATTCTCAAACATAATATGTCTTACTTAAACATAATACTTAAACTTGATCACTTGAACATGTTTGACAAACATTCAATTTTTTATCCCCATTTGTACACATCTTTAGAGCATTTATCTTACTAATAAAGTACATGAACGCATCTCATTACCTTAACTTATCCTAACTAGGGATGCTATTCGAGTCGGAACCGGACCGAACCGACCCGAACTCGAATAACCCAAAAACGAAATAAGATTCCTAACATCCTAAACTAAAATTTCAAGATTTTAGAATTATGTAGCAAAATAGAAATGAAAATAATTAAGATGAAGGGGGAAGTGATATAGACCCAAATATTGATGCATTGTTTACTTTAAGTTAGTTTAAGAAGTAGTTTACATGTATATCTTCCCTAAAATTTCTATCAAAATGGTTTCATATTGAAGTTATCAATAAAGAGTTTTATTCAGAAAAATCTCATTATTTTGGAATTTTTTTTGATAAAGTCATATTTTTTTTGAACATAAAGTCTCGATTATTTAACATTTTGCCCAAATTAACGAAAAAGTCATTTCTTTTTATTTTAACAGGAAATGACAAATTATATAATTTTTCTAAAATAATGATTTTTTCTACATAAAACCCTATCAATAAATGTACAAATATTTCGTTTAATCACTTTTAGAGATTCAAAGAAATGCGTTTCTGAAATGAAAATAAAATTCCAACTTCATACTATGAAGCCAAGAAGAATTTGATAAAGATATATTTAGGATGCGAAACCCTAGATATTAAAACTATCATCTTATCTTAGACAATTCCTAAAATCCGTCTTTGAGTATGAGTTAAGCTTGACCATCATGATATCGATCTCCATACGTGCTCCACAATTTGTAACGATGCCACTAAATCCAACATTTATATACTCCATCCGTCCCAAAATTATTGTCCACATTTGACTTTTTAAGTCTCTTTTGTTCAACTTTGATCTTAAATAATTACTTTTTGTTATATAATTTTTTATGCAAGATATATGAATAGATTGTTTTTTAAATGTATTTTCATTGTTATAAGTTTCATAAAAAAATATATAACACAAATAAAGTTATTTATGGTCAAAGTTGACATAAAAAGACTTCAAAAGTTAAACGTAGACAATAATTTTGAGACGGATGGAGTATTTCTTTCATGCTAGATGATCATTCAGTATGGAATAGTGCTTGCAAATGGTAGGATACTAGGTTATAACCCGTGTAGTACACGGTTGCCAAATCTATAATAATGAAAAAATATAGTATTTAATCATAAATTCGAAAACACTTGTTCATGAACTTAAAATAGTAAATATAATACATAGTTACAGAAATAGCTAATGTCCAACATTTTCGTCACAAATAAAGAATTTTTAAAAATACAATACTAATAGGAAGCTACATAAATGGTCCCTTCATCACAAATAACAAATTTCTTTTTCTAAAAAAATAGATTTTGACAGGAAAGTCCATGTTACCTTGAAAATAAATGTTTGGAAAAATATCATATTTTAGTCCCTGTTATAGCATAAAAGTCACTTTACAGAAATGATACATATGCAACATTGTCATAACAAAAAAAAACTATGAAAATTTAGTTTTTTCCATTAATGGTTACTATTTTGTTGATAAAAAAAAGTTTGAAAAATAAATCAAAAAATGTTAGTCCTTTTTAAAATGCATTTGTTATATATAAGAAAAAGTTATGGAAACTGTTCTCAAAATATAGTGAAATAGTATAAATTTCTCCCAAACCATATTTTTGTACATTTTATATGCTTATATAATTAGGAGGTCAGTAACAAATAACTGGATTTTTTATAAGATTTATGGGTTCTAAATGATAACAAATGAAGGTTGTATAATTGACAATTGGATAATTACACAAAACAAATAAACTGTTCATGCATGCTAAATGCTAAATACAAACATGTCACGATCTTTTCTGAAAAACATATATTCTAAAAAAAGGGACACAAATAGGACCGAACTAACTTGCTGAATATATTTGAAAATCATGACAAAATAAAAAAAACAAGATATTACAAATCTTCATGCGAAAACATCAAAGAATATGTCATCAGTATCATTTGCATCAATATCAATGGATCCTTTATGCTTGTGATAAATGGCAGAGAAAGCTAGTCACTCGGATCATAGAGAATGTCAAGATACATACTAATATCCATGAATTGGGATTCCATGTCTT